AAAATATTTTTTTACGCCTAAGCTTCGCCTAGGCCCGCCTAGGCGCTTAAAGCTTGAAACTTGGCCTCCACACCTAACCACGCTTTACGCTTTTTAGAACACTGGCTACTAAACATTTTTATCAAGGTTTGAGCTGGATTTTAATGCCTTACACTCTTATTGTTCATTATCTATAGACTATAGTAAGAAATCTCTCTCTCTCTCTCTCTCACAGCTGGCTGTTAAAGGCTTGTACCCCTGTTCATATCATCATCAATAATTAAGGGTGTGTTTGACACCAATTTTTTGAAAATAAAAATTTTTAGAATAGTGATTGATGGGAGAATGTGTGGTGAAAAAGTTATGAAAAGTTTTAAATTTGTGTGTAATATTATTTTATTGGAAGAATATGTGGTTGAAATGAAGTAAGAGGAAAAAAATGAGAATGAGAATGCGATAGAGAATGGGTGTCAAACATGGGCTAAATTAGAGACTCTCTCTCTCTCTCTCTCTCTCTCTCTCTCTCTCTCTCTCTCTCAATCAATGAATATACATTTATATCAATGTTGTGCTATATAGTAAATGCAGTACAATACATGCCCTGAACAGAGAGAATCTGAGTAATGCTGGTGAAAGGTGGCAGTGAGATGCACATGATATATCTATCAAAATAGTGGGATTCCTCAAAGCTGGCCTTTCTCTCTCTGATTATTTAATTTTCTTGTTGGTTTAAAACCATCCATTTGGCATCTTTCTCATACATTTAGCCACTCCTATATACATAATTGTTAATTACTTGGGACATCTACTTATCAATTATTTGTTCTTCTCATGAGGGCATCCAAGTCTCATCTTTAACAACTTAATCTCTTGAATGAGTTAGTTTAACATGATATTAAAGCATGCAAATGCTTTACGTTATGTTTAGCCGCTATTATTGATGAAAATTGTGCACATATCAAGCCTTAATTTGATGAAAAAGTGAAACCAAATATGCACATAAAAGGGTCATACGATAATCTAAATAAATAATTTTGTCACTTTCTCAATGAGTTTAGATTTTTAGACGAGATGAGCTATTGCACGTCATTATATTCGGTCTGTATAAGAAAATCGCAATCAAGTTATAAAGAATATATATTAGTTTAGGGCTTTTCTTTTATTTCTTTTCTTTAACTTGTGGTACCATTTCATTACCAAGGCAAGTGAGTTTGTTTGGTTGTGTAATTTCTCATTTTCTACAAGCAAAAAAAGGCCCTACTTCTTGAGTGTTTGCCACTAGTGGAACTAGTTCTATATTTTGCTGTGTGAATCATGATGATTATACACCAAAAGGGTTGAAAAGGGTCAATAGAAATTAAAAATCTGAACTATTTAATTGGAAATCTATTCAATTTCAATTCTTACCACTATTCACTCACAAATAAATATTGACCTAATTCGATAAAAACATGTCTCGCATCAACCTTAACATCAATGACTTTATTAAAATATGAGAATCTGATACAGCCGTTGAAAACTGACTGTAAAACTATAATAAAAGTGGTGAGTAATAATTAACTTCCAACTTGAACAATCATTAGAAAAAAAAAATCGTATGTATAGAAATTTGTTTTACGGATGTTTTACACCCACTCACATGTGTGGGGCCCACCGGAATAAAAAATGAAAAAAAAATCCACCCACCCCCTGCATTGCGTGTCTCTGGTGGTGTTTTGTAGAACCATGCTTCTGTACATGATTCTTTTGTTTATTTGCTTAACTAGTTTGACTTGATGACAACTTGATCCTTTATCATTTTCAAGTTGGCTTATTTTTATGACATAATCTTGTATTTGAACAAAATAATCTGATACTATTAGTTTTGGAATATTAGACTGAAAACAGTAAAATGTGTAAATGACTCGTGAAAACAAAGTATTAAATTATTAATATTGAGCCCCTCTTTGGGCTTCAATAAAATATATAAAAAATGTATTTTACAATAGTGATTTTTTTGAAAAATGTGCGATTAAAAAAGATTTTTTTTTTAATTCTTACCACTCTTCACTCACAAATAAATATTGACCTAATTCGATAAAAACATGTCTCGCATCAACCTTAACATCAATGACTTTATTAAAATATGAGAATCTGATAGAGTCGTTGAAAACTGACTGTAAAACTATAATAAAAGTGGTGAGTAATAATTAACCTCCAACTTGAACAACCATTAGAAAAAAAAAATCAAATTATGGGCAGCAAATAACAATCATGCTACAAGTACACTAAATTTGACATCAAGTTTGACATTGTACCACGTGGCGACATTACATTGGATAGATTTTAAAAACAACACACTTTCCTGCCAAATACAATGTGAATTTACACATAGTGTGAAACTTGATGTCAAGAAAATAATGTACAAGAGGCTTTATTCGGCAAACAATATTCTAGTATTAATTTGTACATAAAATAGTAGTAATTGAGGTTGGGCCTTGCATGGTAGTGCGTGCCAGCCTAGTCAAGTTGCATGCAATAATGCAGTTTCAATCAAAGATTATATTACTATAATTAATTACAATGAAAATGATAAAAAAAGTGAAAGAAAGAAAGAAAGAAAAAGGGTTTTTGCCCTTTCGAAATTCACATTGATAAATAATTGGGTTTTGACATATATTATGTATATATACAAATGTCATCAAACTTTATGGAGGGTTTTGATTCCCATTCGAAAGGGAAACGAAGACCGAAGAAGAATATCTTCATAAATAAATCGCGATTTTGATTTCTTTATTGTTGTTGGAGAGTCGATGACCTGAGTTGGTATCCAACCGATCTCCTTTCGCCTATGCGTCTCTTCCAAGGGCAAGTCTAGTATTCCGCCCTTTCTAGTCGCTTGCTTCCGATTCCCCAAATTCTTTTTATTTAGGCTCTATAATTTGGTCATTGTCTTGGGATCACTCGAATCAAGCAGCATCCCGATCAAATTATCATTTTTTTAGTTATAATTGTCAATACTGAATAATTATTGTTGAACAACTAATTTATTTAAAAATTTGCACTAAAAGTATCGAGAAAAAAATTATCTTATATTATTCTTTCAACACGGCCACTTACATTACATGTACATGCTATTAATTTCATATTAAATAAGATATCTTACCTAATTTCCAAGAATACTTGCCTTAACAAGAGGAAAATTCAAGTGAAATGCATTGGAGTTTTGTACGCCGTGTTTTTGGTGACGTGGCGTTTCAAACAAGAACCTACCAAGTCCCTCTAGTTATATGTATATTTGCAAATAAGTATTAAAAAAAAAAAATCCCTTTGACCCAAAAAATATTGACACGTATATTATATAAAATTGGGGAGTAGTTGGGTCTTCAATTTTGTTAATTCATTTATTTTAATGTTAAAACTTAAAAGACAATTATATAATGTCCAAATACACCCGTTAAATTTTGGAGTAGTTAGCATTTGTTGGGGTCAAATGTTTGTTTTTTGTCTTAGTCATGTTATGTGGCTATGGGTACCCCTCAACTCATTTTAATAGATAAAACAAATTCATGATAACGAAGAATTTAGTTTTATTTTTAAACAACCCGAGACTCGAGTGTAACAGGTTTAACGTGATAAAGACATCTTGGGCACTATATATACAACAGGTCTAACGTGATAAAGACATCATAATATAATTACGAGTCATTTTATATATACGACTCGCCGTTAATGTATAACTAATAAATCGACAAGGTCGAAATATTAACTAGAGAAAATAATGATTAATCTTTGAGCAAAACAAATGAGACAAAGGGTGAAAACTATCCCTTGTCAAGCTTGTGAATATGTGATTATTAGAATAACTGTATTTATTAGATAACAAATATCCTACAAAGACTCCTTCCCATTTTCAACCTTTTGAATCTTAACTTCAACCAAACTTCTAACAAATTTCCTATTAATCTTTCTATTTTTCATTCCAAAAATGTTGTGAAGCAATTTTTCTTTTTCTTTCTCTGCAATGCTTACGGTTTTCAACAGAAAGCTTAAGCGCTTCTGTTCTAGACTGGGATGGCCGATTCGACGCCGTCCCAAGCAAACAATAGTCATAAAAAAGTTTGGAAAATCCAACTCAAGAACAAGAAATGAAGCAAATGCGTCAAATACCACTGGTTCTGCTGTGATCCATCCAAGTAAGGAATCGAGTGGCCTAAAATCCAAGAAACCGATATGTGTTGCCACATTTAATGCTGCCCTGTTCTCCATGGCACCTGCAGTTCCAGAGATGGAAAAATCAGCAAGTTTTGAGCCTGGAAATCAAGGTTTTTTGAAGAAAAAGAATGGATTCGAGTATGATTTAAGGACGAAATCTATGAATGATCGTCCGAAAAGTATATTAAAGCAATCTCCATTGCGTTCAGACTCCATGGATTCATCAGAAAATCTCTCTAAACAACAGAAGTTTGCGAAATCAAGATTGCGGGTTTCAATCAATTTACCAGATAATGAGATATCTTTGAAGAAAAGTGGACACTCGGGCTTTTCTGAAGAGGAAAAAGAGGCATCCTCAAGGGGGAGTAGTATTAGTAGAATCCTGAAAGGGAAGGCTCCGTTGATATGCAGCAAAAGTACGCCGTTTAGTGCCATAAATGGTGCTGATTATCCAAGTTTTAGAAGTACTCGGACCGTTCTTGATGTTCTAAGAGAGTTGAATGCAGACATATTGGCTTTGCAGGATGTGAAAGCAGAGGAGGAAAAAGAAATGAAACCTTTATCTGATTTGGCTATAGCTTTAGGGATGAATTATGTTTTTGCAGAGAGTTGGGCACCTGAATATGGGAATGCAATTTTGTCCAAATGGCCTATTAAGAAATGGAGGGCTCAAAAAATCTTTGATGAAACTGACTTCAGGTTTGTAATAGTTCTTTGATTATCCTGCTTTGATTCGAAGTTTTTTCTTACACATAATTGCTTTACATATATGTTTTTTTCTTTGATTTCAATCTCAAACTCTAGTTTTTGTGAGTTGAAGTAGCAAAATTGCATCACAGATATATAGGTAAGTAGGTATAGTAACATTTGTTAATTAGACGTACTCAAATCCCCGGTAAACAAAAGCCTGCATAGCAATCCCAATGCTTGGGTTTTTTGCATCATGCCTGGTAAACAAGTAGGCTTATGGCTTGTTTGGTAGTGAGATTAGATATTATATGATAGTGTAAAGAAAGAAAACTTTGCTAATATCTTGTTTATCGTACTGTACTTGTACTTAAAAGTCGCAGATCTTGTGATTCCATGCTATTTCACACTAGGAGCTGAAAAGAAAATTTGTAAACCGCTACATAAATACATACTCTATTAGAGTTTTGCATATCAAGTGATTTCTAATTATTTGATGCAGGAATGTTTTGAAAGCCACCATTGATGTTCCTCAGGTAGGAGAAATCGACTTCTTCTGCACGCATCTAGATCATTTAGACGAGAACTGGCGAATGAAACAGATAAATGCAATAATCCAATCTACGAACATACCACACGTCTTAGCGGGGGGCCTAAATTCTCTCGATGAAACTGATTACTCCCAAGAAAGATGGACAGATATCGTTAAGGTTATTTTCTCTTCTCGTTTTTCCAAGATTAAACACGCTTTTTTCCCTACCGATATCTTACAATTTAACCTTACTTATGGCACAGTATTATGAAGAAATGGGAAAGCCAACACCCAAACTTGAGGTGATGAAATACTTGAAGAGTGAACATTACACAGATGCAAAGGATTTTGCTGGAGAGTGCGAGTCTGTCGTTATGATTGCCAAAGGACAAAGTACAAACCTCCATAGCAAAATTGCTTATTGATTATTTTCCCAATTGAATAATTACTTATCGATGTTGATTATGCTTAATCCTGCGTTTTATCTTGTGCAGATGTACAGGGCACATGCAAATATGGAACTAGAGTCGACTACATATTATCATCACCTAATGCAGCATACAAGTTTGTTCCTGGATCATACTCAGTTCTTTCTTCGAAAGGGACTTCTGATCATCATATAGTGAAAGTTGATTTGATGAAAGTAGATAGCAATCCTCAACAGCAATATGCTCATAGGAGGCGACGGCAATCCAAACAGAGAATTGTGAAGATAACACATTCTTCTTCACCATCAAAGGGTATATGGAAAACACAATCTTGAAATGCAGATAAATTACTACATTAGTATTTCTCTTTTCTGACTATTTACTTAGCAGATTGTTCGCTGATCATGGCATGTTTAATAAAGTGGACTCGAATTGGACAATATAAAGGAAAAAAAGAAACTAAAATCTTGTCTATTCTACTACCCATTTCTACATAGTAAACGTGCCTGGAGAGAAAGATGATGGCAGAAAAGTTTTACAATAGCTTCCTTCTTTTGTTTCTCTCTGTAAAGCACTATTCATCAATACAGTGGTGACTAATTTAGAGGGAAAGGAAATTAAAGATACAGAATGTGTATAAATTTATTTCAGTTACTTGTGCTACAAGGATTTTCTTCCCTTTTTCCTTTCTGATTCAAGTTTTGAAGAGAAGTTGAAGAAGGGTATTTGAAAATACTTGAATATTTTTCTTCTCTTAGGTTTCTTTCAAACTTTCCATGAGAGTTGAGACTCTCAACTCTCATGGAAAGTCTCAACTCTCATGAAAAGTTTGAGACTGCATCTGTATATCGTTCACTCTTCAAGTATTTCATCATGTCAACCTTTGGCATTACCGTGTTGGCTTTCCCATTTCTTCATAGTACTGTGGTGTTTTAAGTGTTAAGGGATAAAATCTCACATCGAATAAAGATGAAAACATAGACCAATTTATAAGAGTTTGAGCTACTCCTCTTAATAAGGTCGACCTTTTAATAGGAGTAGCCCAAGCTCTTATAAATTGGTCTATGTTTTCATCTTTATTCGATGTGAGATTTTATCCCTTAACATTAAGGTAGAAAGATAAGTGGCGTGGAAGAATAAAAATGGATTTAGCGACTTGGTCTTGGGAAAACTAGAAAAAACGAATTACCCTTGGCAACATCTGTCCATTTCTCTCGGGAGTAATATGTTTCAACGAGAGAATTTAGACTTGGTGGATTAGATTATGGCAGTAATCTGTTTCATTCACCAATTCTCGTCTAAGTGATGGAGATGCGTGCAGAAGACGTCCATTTCTCCTACCTGAGGAACATCAATGGTGGCTTTCAAAACATTCCTGCATCAAATGTCTTATAACAAGCCATAAGCTATATTTCAGCGTCATTTGTGGTGCTTAGCAACGTACTTTTGCTGCATGTCAATGGTGCTTTCCCTTTTAGAAACTGTGTGAGACTTTTTAAAAAAAAAACGTTGTAGAGTTTGTCACTTTTAATTTTTGGCAAAATAACTCATATGCAAAAATACAAATAAAGTGATACACCTTTTAATGTAAAACAAGGTTTGAATTTTTATATTTAAATTTCAAAAAACGCACACGTATACATTTAGTTAATTGCATCAATTAGATATTGTGACTTTTTAGATAAAAATGTCACTTTTTCATAGTCTTCTTTTTGCGAACATTGCATATATCAATTGAGTTGATTCAATATTAATTTTTCATATGTATTAACGTAAAACGAGGTTTGACATCATATATTAAATTTCCAAAAATACAAAAATATACACCTAACTCGTTGCTCAAATGAGATACTATGACTTTTTTAGATAAAAGTGATAGAATGTCATTTTGTGCAAACACCTTACAGTCATCAATTGAATTGATTTAAAGTTAATTTTTCATATGTATTAACATAAAATGAGGTTTGAAATCATATATTTAAATTTTCAAAAACACAAAGTATGCATCTAGCTAATTACTCTAATGAGATACTGTAACTTTTTATTTTATAGAGAATGTCACTTTTCATATTCTTCTTTTTGCAAACACATTGCATGCATAATTGAATTGATTCAAAATTGATTTTTCTTACATATTAATGTAAAACAATGTTTGAAATCAAATATTTAAATTTTCAAAAACATGCATGTATGCTTCTAACTAATTACTCCAATAAAATACAACAACTTCTTAAATAAAAGTGACGGAATAAATGACATAATGTCACTTTTTCACATTCTTATTTTTGCTAGCACTTTGTATGCATCAAATGAACTGATTCAAAGTTTTATTTTTCATATGTATTAAGTCAATCCATTTCCTCTCAAGATTAAAAAAAAAATGTCATTTTCAAATACTTTCTAGTCACAATAGCAAAACCATAAAAAAAAAAACCGTAAATGCCAATAATTTACTTTATAAGATTCAAACTAAACCTAATGACAAATTTCAAAGAACAATGACATAGACAATGCACTAAAATGATTATAATTTGTAAGTGGGAGTTTATTCAATTTGAAATTGATATTTATGGTTGTTGCTTTATAATCTATGCAAAATGACAAAATTGAGGAACTAATTAAACAAAAAATCCAAAAAAAAAATAAATAAAGAACTTTAATTTGTTTGGGTATTTCCAGATTAAGGGAAGAAAAATTTGAAGAATGGTAGTTGAAGCAACCTTGACCTTGTTTGTGCTTGATTTGTGGAATATTTCCTCTTTTCCCTCTTGATTTTCCTTTGCTTTTTGGAGCTTAGATGACTGATTTTTGACAAACTATCGCGTGTTAGGTTTGAACGTAAATTATACGTTCAATTTTAACTATTTGCCAATTAATCCAAGTTTATCATGTTTTTTTCAAAACTATCCCAAAATATAGGGTGTTTGTGTAACTACCCCAAAAATAATTGGACTAGAAAATGGGCCTTCCAAGAGACTGCTCCACTGGTACACACACTGGGCCTATTTACTGGGCCTTTTCGGTGTCCCGATCTAGCTGGCCTCATTTTTACTTGAATTTGGCACTTGTAATTCCATAAGCAAATCAACTAACAATTGAGTGTAAATATGTGCAAATTAATTACAAGAGCCAAATTCTCTCTAAAAACAAATGAAATGAAATGTTTTTTTTACCATAGATTATAGATCAGTTAACTTACTATTGTACAAAAAAAATAATAATAACATATATGGATGGTCTTATGTTTCATCTAAAATGTCGAATATAACTTAAATTCCTTGAAATTTTTCTAACTATGTACACTTAAGCTCGTGCCAAGATTAATGGATGAGCTATATACCGAGATGCCATTATATATCCTTTTGTGTATCGATCGTTTGAGTTTTGTTTTCTAAAGTTATATCTTTTGTAAATCACGTGATAAAAAAGGGTGATGTTTTGATAGTTGTCACTGCTCTCATTTGGGAAGGCTTTAGGTTAAGTCTCTCACGAGTGCAATTCTTGCGCTTATTTGTCATCCAAATAGACTAAATCGGGTTTTGAAATATATAGATGAAAATTTTCCTTGGTAATTAAATTCTAGGATTAATTAGCTTCCTTTAGATAAAGATAAAAGTTGAAACAAAAACACACACACGCGAGAGAGAGTATAATGGATTGTGTTATGTGTACACGATTTTTTACATAATCTTTTACACCCCCTCACATGGAGGGGGGCTCGCACACAATAAAATATTTGTGGATCCCCTTCATGTGAGGGGTTGTAAAAGATTGTGTACACTACAAGGTGTACACATAGCATCATCCAAGTATAATATATACATGGCCTAGCCACGCATGGCTTCTCCAACACTAGGATTCATAATTCGCCGGAATATTCTCTCTCACAAACTCCGGCAGTCAATTCCATTCCTCTTTCTTTCTTTCTTTCAGCCCCTTTTATTCTTTTCTTGTTCTTGTTCCCGGCAGGTAGCTCCTCCATCTCCACCCCCTGCAGTTCCTCTTTTGATCCATGCATGCAATTGCAGGCTAATCATCACCGCAATGCGTCACCGCAGAACCACCACTAACAGCCGGACAGAACAACTTTCTTCAGTTCATTTCGGTACAATACATCTAAATTCCATCTCTCCGTCGTCATGTGTGACTAAAGTCGTCGGAAAACAATACTTTGGTCAACAATGGCAAATGAAAGTACAGACAGTGAGAAGAGGATCAATGAAGATTTGATGACAAAATATGTAGACGATGATCGATATTTAACGTGGACGGAATGCATCGGGTTCGAAAGCATGAACGAAACATCAAAACCGGAGGAATTAGAATCTCCGGCAACTGCGCCGGGACGTACTACTGTCGAATCAAGATCAAGAAACGCTGATAAAACGACACTGCCCAAGGAATTCCCAGCAACATTGCCAAGTCTGACCAAGAACGGCCGACCGAGGTTCAATCTGGTGAAAACAAGAGGCAACGGACGGCTACAAATTGTAATGGTTCCGACCAATCATCCAGCCGTTCTGGTTGAACGCACCCCCGGAGAAGGTGACAAAGTCAGAATCCGATTTCACTGATGATGACGATTTTGATTGTTAAACTTAGTGTTGGTTTGTGGTTCCGTTGGATGATTGCGGTTGTCGATTGATTGGTTAACTGGGTTTTGATACCCAATACTTAGTAATCGAGACTGTTCTTCGAGACTGTTCTTCAAGTAAAGAATTCGGGTTTCCAGGTAGCAAATATTAATCTTTAATATAATATTTGTCCTTTATCATGTCAAGTCTAATCGAGCATCATAGTTCTCGTAAACGAGAATCATTTTTAATAATCGAAAGAAACATATCAAAAGGGTTTTCTTGTGGAAGAATTGAGCTTATTGATGGGCTGATTGTTCAGAGCCAGCAATAAGTTGTCGGATTTCGTCCCGCAAAATGGCATTTCATCGCCCATCATGTGGTATGTTGGACCGGTATAAGTGGCCCGTATTGAAACTGGTTAACATTGTTGGGGTCTCACGTGGACTGGCATGTCATCATGTCTAACAATGAAAATTTTCTATTCTGGCCTGGCCAAGTAAATATTGAATGTGGACTTTGCAAGGAGGGTTGACATGGACAAAAGAAATAGACGGCACATAAATCCCGTTTTGGAAGTTTTTCGTTTTATTAAATGAGTTTTTAGAGAAAACTAATCAGGCGACTTACTCACGAAGCACTGCTACAAAAATTTGAAGCAAAAATAAAAGCAAAAGCCGTATCAAACGTGCTCCATCATGATTTGGCACGCCATTTGAACACAAATACTTCTTTATTTCTTAAATCGATTCAAGTAATAGAGTCACAAAAGAAGAAAATTTGTCTTAAGTAGACAAGTAAGTCGTTTTGTTGAATTGAAATCTTTCATTTCACATGCCTTCGTATTTAGTAACACAATAATCTGCAAGAATACTCGCCAATCCATTGCCTCTTGAAGCAAAAACTTCAGAGGATAAATGTGTCCTAAGCTCAGGACTCAAGTTTTTTATGAGGCATTTATCGCTGCTTGTATTTGTTCCAGAGTTCTTCCTTTTGTTTCGGGTACTACTTTGATGACGAACAGAATGGCAAGTGCATTGACTGCAGCATAAAGAATGAACGTTCCTATAATCATGTTACAAACGTTAGATGGTTATGACATATTCCGCATAGATGTAAAGAGACTTTTGTTTATTGCTTTTTGAACCATATAGCAATGTCGATACATTTTACTTACCATAAGAGCTCCAGCTCATAAGAAAATTGAATGTGTAGGAACATGCCCACGCACCAAACCAATTCACGAGTGTTGCAAGACTTCCTGCAACTCCTTTAATGTTTATAGGGAATATCTACAAGAAATACGATTATTAGACTAAATGATCATCTTTCTGTCCATGTATAATGATCGAGTTATCATACCTCGGACATCACTACCCAAGGAACTGCTCCCATTCCAGCTGAAAATGATCCTATGTACACCTGAGTTTGGAAAATCATCTCGACTTAGATGAAGAATTCTTTCCAATTTTGTCGAGGGGAAGGGGTGGACTTACTAGTATGCCTGTCACGGCTAGTGCTGGTGCTGCGTTCACTGCTATTCCATGCTCCTGTTACATAACATAGTCCGTTGTGAATGACAATCTTTTGATAAAAACGATAAGGGAAAGTTTGTCTAACTAAAAGCTAAACGGTTGAATCTGTACCTTAAGATAATACGAGCTCCCTGTTAGCAGACAACCTAGGACTAGGCCGAATGCAGAAATCTGAAGAAAAAGAAACCTCACGCACTTACATTGTGAATAATGTAATAATATGTTGGCATTCAGTGCTGAAATTTACCAATAAAAGCGGTTTTCGTCCTGCTCTGTCTATTAAGGTTGCACCTAGTGCAGTTATAATGACCTGAAAAAGGATAAGATCAATATAAACAAAATGCACTAATTTCTCATAAAAAGTGACACTTTTGTGGGGGTATCGACCTGAAGAATAGCATAAGTTATCGTTCCTACGTTGGCTGGGAATCCTGAGAAATTGCAGGCGAGAAATACAGATCATTTGTTAGACAGAGTCAGAAACTTTGATTTTACTCGAGCAGATTATAAATAGAATAGAATGAAGTCATTCTTCAGATATTTACCTGAGGACTCAAAAATACTGCTGGTATAGAAACAAATTCCATTGATTCCTCCAAATTGTTGAAAGACCATTAGCCCAACACCGATCTGGAAAATACAATAAACAAGAGTATAGTTTCTTTTTCTTCCTTAATCTATCTAGTGTTGTCTTGTCCAACTCATGAAATAGGCCAAAAAGGAAACCGAAGTAAAGATTTACCGTGACAGAACTCAGGTATCGTTTTTGAAATAAGTCGAGCATTTTGGCTTTCGGAAGTTTCTCAAGAGTTTCTATATAATCCTGTCAAAGAATGATAACTATCTTCTTCATATCGTTTGCATAATAACTAATGAAGAAATCAGGATTTAGAAGTCTGTACTTGGATTTCAGCTGCCTCTTCGGATATGTTAGCTTTTTTGCCCCGAAGTCTTCTTAATGCAACTTCAAACTTTTTTTGATCTCCTTTTTTCGCCTGAGCATATTTCAACTAAACATTTTTAGTAAAATTTCAATCATTCTACAGGACAAATACATTTGTATATATGTTGTTTTCCTACCAGCCATCTTGGAGATTCTGGGATGATAATGAGGCCAACAAGGAGAACAGCACATGGGATTATTCCTGCAAGATTCAAGAAGTGATTAATTTCGACAGTATTACTTATTTTCATAAGTCGCTTATCGTATATTTCTATTCTGAAAATCCCAGTTTCTAGGGTCGTTTTAAGCCAAGCATTATCACCTGTTATTGCTAAAGCCCTCCATGTTAGAAATGTGCCTATGATGAAGGAAACAGATACTCCAGTACAAATCATCAGCTGCGGATCAAGAAGAAGAAAATGAGTCGATTCTTTCATTTTAGTGTCTTAACACCACGTACTCAACATATGTAATAAAGGGGATCTTTACCTGGTTTATGGTTGTCAAAGCGCCTCGTAAATCTTTGGGAGAGATTTCAGCTATGAACACTGGTACCTAACAATGAAAAAATCGAACATAAAAAAGGAGCCGTAAACAGGAATATTTCTATTGAGGAACGAAAAACCTTTTTACCACATATGAAAAGACTCCCATTCCATATCCTGTTGCCAATCTTCCAATGTCCAGAGGCAGAGCTCCCTGGCGTAATTATTCATAATTTTGTCAAATATGAATTTTTGTGTATGCTTATTCATTCGTTGGTAACTAATAAAAGAAACTAGTCGTGAAAGTATAGTAATATAAACCTTGGCGAAGTAAATCGATAGCCACCCTGCTACACAGAATCCACTCGATACTGTCATTGCCTGTTTGCATTTCATATCAAACGAACCTAAATTAATAGGGAGGAAATTCTAAATAATGGTTGATATTCCTATATGTATTAGAATCTCATCAAGCTCACCCCTTTACGACCTATATAATCAGCCATTTTACCACTTGTAATTGCTCCTATCATTGCTCCAAAAGTCAGTATCGAGCCAAACAATGAGTACTGCAAAGTAGAAGAGTCAAATACAAATGCTTAAGCAATGAATTTTGGATCAATTTCACAAAATTCTTTAGAATTAGGATAGATAATCCTAGTATAAACAATTAAACTACGTTCAATACAGAGTGTTGGATCACAATATACAGTACCAAATAAACAAGTTTCCTGTCGAGTAGTATCTAATCCATTTTACCGAACATACTAACCTCTGCCAAGGATAAACTTAGATCATCTCGGATGGCGAATTGCGTAGGTGATGAATACCCTGCCTGCAAAATGAAAAAGGACTAATAAAACACTTTTCGACATTAATTCTGGCAACTTTTGGCTTCTGTGAATAAGTAACAAACAAATGAACTTATAAGAAACTCGAGAAAAAGTACTTATTTCTTACACAAGATCCAAATGCATAAGAGCCACAAACTGCAACAAATGTACTGAGGTAAACCATCCATCTTTCCTCCTTGATCTGCTTATCACTTCCATTGCAGTTTTCGACTTTTTCTGCTCTCTTTTCTTGTGAAATAAGTGGAACTTTAATTTCTTCTCGCAAACTGCTTTCAGCTTTCTCTATATCTTGATTCTTAGCCATGGCTTTCTTCTTGTTTTCTTCACTTGCTAAGTGAAAATATTGTTGGTTTGTGTATGTATCCTAGAGAAAGTGTCTTGACGAGATGTTTTCAAAGAACAAACACTAGAAATAGAAGAGAGAAACAAGAAAGTTCTTGGATGGAGGGATGGAGCCATGTGCATATATTATTCAACACACGTCTATTTGTAAAAGTATCTCGTCTAAAAGTTTAAACTGTTCGAAAAAGAACAATGACGTGCAGATCACGTTCATTTATTTATAAAGTATGTGTGCATTACTACTCTCGACATCGAGCATTCAACTTGTACCACTTGATATAAACTTGACAAATCAAATTTCGTAATTAATTTTCGGTACTCATCCTTAAGTTTCAAACTTCACTTTTGATTCGTTGTTCTTGAAATAAAGCCAAGTAACCTAATTTCTATGTATGACTTAAGCATAAGAGTGTTTCGTAAAAAAATTATCCGACCTCTTTCACGATTAGAGGAGCTCGATCACTAATTTCGAGTTAATCCTTCACGTTCAGAGCCACGTTAATGGAAGGCTCAAAACCGGACTTTAGAAAAGATTCAACGCCTCTCACTATTAATCATTATTCTAAAAAGATCATTTAAGCTATGTCACTCTTAAAGTCGTACAAGCTCGAAACTTTGTCTTGCTTTCTGATCAGTTTAACGATTCATAAAATACTGTTATTAATAATCACATACACTGCAATTCAACCCGGCAAGAGAACAAGGTTAAATTATCATTAAAAGATGCTACGAAAATGATAAAAATATGTCAATTGGATACAGTTAAGAGTTTCAGTACAAAAGATAAGACAACAATGAATTGACTGGAAAATGACGTCGAATGACAATTGAGATATACAACGACAAGCTTGAGGGACCAATTACAGAATTTTCAAAAATGGTTGGCTTCTGTTTGTATCTATCTATCTCTAAATGTATTGTCCGCTTAAGCCATTTTGTTTCAATCTTATATTTTAATGCTACTAGATTTCTTTATATGTAATAATTGAATTTTGCAATGAAAAATTACAAAATGGAAAAACAAAGTACCTGTGGGTTGTTATTTTTTACAACGTTAGACAATAAATCACAATTCCGTTTCATGTTCTGATAAAAAGTAGATCGAAATATATTTGGCATAGACTTTTTAGAATCATACGAAAAATAACAATCAGCATTAAAAAAGAATACGCCACCAATCCAACTGGCAAAATTTCCTCACCTACCAAAGTTGATATCTCTGACCTGTCACTTTTCAGTTCATTAATTTATTGGGTTTGTGGAGTAAAAAATAAATAAATAAATTCTTTATAAATCGAAATCTCAGTTGGATGCTGATATAGAGCGTGTTCGGTAGAGATTAAAATTGGATTAAAATTAAAAAAATTAGTTGTTATTGTTGACTTTTATTAAACGGGTGGGACCCAATAACGTTCATATTTTTAATTTTAATTGGATTTTAAGCTGTACCGAACAGACCTATAATCAGTGTGCTGAGATTTTTTATAAAGCGAAATCTCACACGCAAAATGAAAAGTATGCGCAAAAAACTCTCTGTCCCTTGGTTACTTTCTGTGGGCTCTGACCTCAAGGACAAGTTTTGTGTTCGACCATTTGTGTTTATAAAAGTAGGAAAAATCCATTTGTACAAAAATGCTTTTACAGAAATTCACCAGAATACTAATAATGAAGGGCCCCACCATGTATTAAAAAATAAAAATAATGTGTGGGACCCATATGTGTGTGTTTTCTATGAATTTTCTATCAAAATGGCTTCTGCACTGCGGTAAAAAGTATGAAATTAGTCAAGTATAGTTATCATGAATTTTATTGAAGATAAACATTGATAAGTTTGAATATGTACATATTACAATGACTAGGTTCATGAATGTGGCAAGAATAAAGGTGTTCGGTGTCATCTTGCCACCTAGACACATCATTATCGAAAAGACATATCTATATCGGAAGATGAATTCGGCAACAATAATGCTAACCTACACAAGTTTTAAGTGATAATTGAATAAGTGTCATATTGTCACTTCGAGACGATGATTTGGAGACTTCTAATTAAGATTTTCAAACATTTTGCACCAATAAAGGAGCGAAATATGGGCATGAAAGGCTAAAGGGTCTTCGACGTGTTGGCATAGCAATAAATCAAGTCAGCCCCGGCTCAAAGGATGAAGATCCAGGCATGAAGGAGTTTGGGCTTGGAACCTCCCATTATCTGAACTTCTTTAGCCTATTAAGGGCCTTTGGGATGTTATAGTCACGTCGGGTTTCTTTTGTTTTACAGATTGATGTACGGCTCATTTTGGCATGACTTTTGAAAAACATGAAACTGTACTATCGTTTTCCCTATTGCATTGCTAGAATTCTTTTCAATATTTTGAAAATGTGAGCAGAAGGTCTTTTACCTTTATTAATCTATTTCAAAAGAATCATATACCTATTTTTTTGTTTGATAATGGAGTTCACATTCATCAAGATAGAGTCGTGTGCATGTNAGTTCACATTCATCAAGATAGAGTCGTGTGCATGTCTGCTATTGTTGTTGTCGAGACTAAAAAACTGCATATTTAAATCATTTTGTGAAAATACTTCGTCTAGAAGAATTTTCAAAGAAAGCCGATCTTAGAGAGCTCTTTCTCCGAGAGCTTCTCTATAAGAAGCAAAAGTAGAAGCCTGCAAACTGAGCCCAACGTGTTGAGAAAAAAAAAAATTCTTCAGTTTTTTGTTTGGTGCTTGCGTCAAACATCAAATTGTTGAACACAATATTCTTGTTTGCTTCGCTGCCTACACTACCAACTCTATGCATTCTAGTAAAAATGTTGGGACATGCTAGACAAAGTTGCAAAGCCAGCAACCTCTCGATAGGAAGGGGGAGCACATCGCAACTTGCAACTGGCGAGCAATCTGTTTGAGAAACTCAAATCGCGAATTCAGGCAGCAATGTAAATATGCATGCAGTACCACCTAGAATTCATCATAAAGTCAATTCAGATTCAGATAAACAGCTCATTCAGGTTGCAGAAATACAAGATGGCAGGTAACAACATTCTACAAGCTCAAAAGATAAAACGTTTCCTTCTCATTACACCAAGGTTGGGATAGTACATAATTCATTTGTTTTACATAATAAACAGTGCTTCAGTTACTACAGGTTCTAGTTTAAATCCTATCTTTTACTATGCCATTAACAGATCTTTTGTGATGGAAAAATAAAAAAACACAAATGGAGAAAAAAAAAGATCAGCACAACTTTTCCACAAAGAGGAATGAAAGACTCCTGTACATATCTATTCTAGTGGATAAAGAGACTTAAGAATATACCAAGCAGTTCCTTGCTGCTTCTGAGTGATAACCTTTTCGTGTATAAGATACTTTAATATGCAAAGCCCCATTGCTTATCAAAAACCATCTGAGAAGCTCTTGAATCTTCTGTCCTAATAGCATAAGCTAATTCTGAGTATCCACCATCCTTATTAATACATATACTTCTACGTGTAGCAGCAGTGAGAAGCTCTTGTAAATTAGGGTATCAGTGATTCCAGATCAACGTACCATTCAATATATCTATATAAACAAAAGAATTCAAGGAAGCAAATTGCAGTATGGAGTTCTATTGACATTCTCATTCAAGTGCCAGATTACCATCCATCAGAGTTTTCATTATCTTTCTTGGGAGTCTGAGGACGGTCTTCATCAAAAGTATAATGCTGATAGCCAGCAGGCGTAGACAAATTCCCAGAACCGCTGCTGCTTGCTAACCGCTCAATATCATCAATATTTGCTATGAGCGATATAGGTCTTTCTGGTATGGAAGGAATTGATACATCAGTGTCTAACAATTTAACAACCTGGTCCATTGTCGGCCTAGCATGTAATTGCGGATGTGAACAAAGAACAGCCACTAACACATACTTCTCTACGACATCGGGAGGACCCAAATCTGGCATATCTTCAACAACCTCCAATGCTCTCCCATTCCTAACCAGAGACCAAGCCCAATCAGTGATGAGTGTAGGTTGGCCATCATTAACAGCTATCAGCGCTTTTTTCCCACTCAAAAGCTCAAGAAGCACTACTCCAAAGCTATAAACATCACTTCTTTCTGTCAATTGTCCATACAACGCGTACTCAGGTGCCACATATCCCATTGTCCCAGCCACCCTAGTACTGAAGTGAGTCAATCCCTCTGGGTTAAACTTTGCTAATCCAAAGTCTGCCACCTTAGGCTCAAACCTCTCATCCAAGAGTATATTACTAGCCTTGATATCCCTATGAATAATTGCCGGTCTTGCACCATAATGCAAATAAGACAACCCTTTAGCTGTTCCGAGAGCTATCTTCTGACGTATAGGCCAACTCAACTTCTTCTCCACCAACCCAAATAGATGATCATGAACACTCCCATTCTTCAACAAATCACACACAATAATCCTTTGGTGACCCTCGAAAGGGGTTGTCGCTGTACAATACCCTCTCAACGCCACCAAATTCACATGTCTAATGCTGGCAATAACTTCCACTTCGTGCGTGAAACTCGCATCACCAGAAGCAGAACAATTCTTGAACCTCTTCAATGCCACTTCAGAACCATCTGGTAACACTCCCTTGTACACATTCCCATACCCTCCTCTCCCAATTATATGCTCCCTTGAAAAGTTCTTCGTGGCCGCCTTAATTTCATCAAATTTGAACCTAATCAATGTAGTACTCCCACTAATCGAATCCAACCCGGAAGTTAAGCGAACCTCATTCGTAGCATTTGTCAACTTTCGCTTCAAAATTTTCTTCCTTCTCCGCCGGAAAAACCAAAATCCTAAAAAACCCAGAATCAAAACCACCGCAGAGATCGACACACCTACAGGAATTACAACTTTTTTCTTCTTACCGCTCGATGTGAAATCGATATTAAATAAGCACTTCGCTGTGCCTTCATTGGTGGGCCCAAAGTGATTTGCAAAAGCAGCGACGTAGACAAAGGGGTAGGCCGTACAATCGGAGACGTTCCCGATTGACGGGCCGGTAAGGTACGAGGCCTGAAGCCTGGAAATGGCAGTCGTACAGGTGGCACAAGGGGAGTTGTTAAGGAGGGACTGGTTACATGCTGAAACGACGTCGTCGAGATCCTTCCGCGGGATGACGGATTCGAACTCGGATCGTGTCGTGATGTTCATACAGCCACGGGCAATCCACTCCGTCTCGAAGCCACACCGACTGCGTATGTCGTAGATGGGTTCATACTCGTTGACCAGAGACTCATATGAGTCCCAGCACGATTCAGCAGAGTCCAGCGGTGGGAGGAACGAGCTGGTGACTCGTAGATACTCAGATTCAACGAGCCGGATGCCCTGTTTAACATACTGGCATTCCGAACGGATATCCACGTTACTTGGCCTCTTGCCTTTCCGTAAAACACCAAAGTCTAACGGGCAACGGTTGGAGACATTACCGTTCTGGAGGAGTACCCGGCGGGGCTGGTGGCCACTGGAGGTTGAAGGAACCAATACTTGGCACAAAAGTGATAAAAACAGCAAAAAAAAATAACCAACACGTAACATTTACGGGTTTACAACGACGATTCACAAAAATAAAAAAGAAGCTTGCTTTATTCTACGGCGGCTTGTGATTGAGTATTTGAGGTGGGCCGATAGTAGGCTCTGGGATATGGCGTTGATAACGAAACACGTAATTATTCATTAGGCAGCCAAGGTGGAGATTATTCATTCGAAGATGAAGAGATGGAACGTAGGTTCTGCGAAAAAGGAAGTAGAAATTGGAATACGAATACCAGGAGTTGACTTTTATGGCTGAGTTGTTGAATCTGGGGGTCCACCACTGTTGTTGAGCTGTGGCTGTGCGTAGAAAACTGAAGGTGAAATTGTGAAAATAGTCAAATACGCTAATCAGTTTCTGCGCAGCCAAATCTCGAAGTTATATGATAGATAGCGTAATTCGATGAATTTTCTAGATATTCTTTATTTTAGTTTTTTTTGTCAATTTAAAAACTCTATTTCAATAGAAATGTTTCAGCATGATACTTCTATATGCACGTGTTGTAGAATCGATCATTTAGATCATGATACATCGGACCATGAAGAAGGATTAGACTGTCGAGGTGGAGACTATTCAATCGAAGGTGCAACTCGACTCAACAAATATATAGATTGGTCCTGGCCTTTAAGGCGAGTATCACCTTTACATTGTTCAAAAGGTGCACTAAATGTCTCAAACTTCATTTATGTCAATTCTTCTAATTTGCTTGTCTTAAAGTGCTTAAAGATAGTCGAACTAGTCACTAAGCTAGTTTGTATAGTTGAAAATCTCACTTGTAAATAATGTGAGAGAGATGGAGAATCTTAAGAAAATTCTCGAATAGTTTCGACTGTTTCTTAGTATGGAGGTTATTAGATCTAGGAAGTGAGTAATTGTTTCAAAAAAAAATGTGGAAAGCCCAGAAAAATTTATTTGGACTTCCTTAGGATTATTGTTGGACTTTTATCTATAACTAGGGGGAGAACGTGCAATTGCTTAATGTTAAAAATAACTATATGTAAATTTTAGAAAAATTCATTTATAAATGACGGTATTGTAGGAAAATGTATAATCTGCTACAAGAAGCACACATCAAGAAATTAAAATTTATATCTCAATTTCTTATAAAATGTTAAAACAAATTACAACTTAAACTTTTTATCAGTATTCAGCAAGTATCGAGTATTGATCCCATATTTTATTATTTTGAATACATTATCTTAACATAACTGTAGATTTAATTTCGTTACTCCCTCACCTTTTGAAAGGCAAGTTAAGTAGATGACAATATTCACGAAGCTCAAATGTACTCCATTAAAGATAAAGAAGACTATAACAACCCCATTCTTTTAATTTGATAAGGATTTAGTTAACACAAATCGAAAAATTTCGCGTGAACATCAAAAAATTGCAAGAATAAATTTATTTTATTTCTATCTTGTTATAACTAAAACAAACATTAAAAAAGATGTAGGAATTACTTTTGACGAAAATAATAAAA